CTAGGAAAAGTCTATAGAATCAAAAACCCGACTACTCTAATACCAATCTGTCAGGACCTGACTTTCAAGGCTTCAAAAGACCGAATCGTAACTGAAAAGACGAAATCGAAAACAAATAAAAAAAAAAATAAAATAGAAGGTAAAAATCCGGAAAAATTTAAAACAAGAAAAGGAAATCAAGGACACCAAAATTAAATATAAAATCAAAATCAAATGTTACAAATAGGAATTGCAAATATAAAATGAAATACAAAAGACTCCAAATATGAAAACGGACGAAGGACTCTAAAAGACCGACAAGGGACTAACGCTCTAGAACGACACCCCTCTGTGACAGTGCAGCTCTCGAACATCTTCTCGTATCGACTGGTACCTGAAAAAAAAAATGAAGGAAAGGGGTAAGTATAAAAATATACTCAGTAACCAACCTACTTGTAGGCTCTTTTCTCATCCTTATCTTAGTGGGTATACACGGTCTTATCTCTGGATTCTAGTGAGTGCAAATCATGCTCCACCTCTCTTTTCTGTATCTTGGGAGGTTTGCCTATCTTATGCAATGAAATGATTAGTGTCCTGCTCCACCTCTCTTTTCTGTATCTTGGGAGGTTTGCCTATCTTATGCAATGAAATGATTAGTGTCCTGAGGTGAAGCGCGATCTCATAAGTAATCTGAGGGGATCATATGGCTGGATCTGAATACATGACTCTCTCTGAATATCATCCNACCCCTTAGCTATCACCACTAGGTCTGGGCACCTTTCACACTTCCCTATCCGGATCTGCCAAGCTCAATGATCTCCGTACCGAAGCTCTGTCTCGACGGTACGGTATTGGAGAAGAGAGGGAAGTGGAGGTTCTGATGACACTAGCCACACTACTAAACTCTAGCGGGCTACCTACAGTTACCGTAGTGACCTACTATTCTTTCTAGGGTGGAACTTGGTGGCTTAGACTTGGATTCATGCATCTTTAGGATTCTCGTGCAAGGTCTCACAAACCTATCAGGTTTCAAATTCAAGGCTCTGGATCCGCCGGTAATCGTTTCGCAGGTCCAAATGCACGGTATTCTAGAGGTCCCCCAATCTAGGGTCTCATCTAGCCTACTTAGTCACAAATACCCTAATCTAAGCTCATAATTTCTTCCGGTTCATCAAGAAAGATAACACAAGCCATCATCATGCATAGGAGTTAACATGCAGCAGTTCATGCAATATTAACAAACATGCTCAACGGGAAGATAACGTCCACCTTTACCTGGAGCGCAGATTTCACAATTTTTCCATCCTCCTCATGCATACATACTTTATCAGAATCTTAATCAAAACAGATTTAATAAATATTTCATATCTAGCTTTCCTTAATCATTTTATTTTCACAGTTTCCATACTAATATGCTAGGTCCGGCTAGCTAATTTTATGGGTGGTAGCATGCATGCATGTTCCTAGTGGTTCCTACAAGTACTGCTCGTGGGAATTCAAATGGCTACTTACATGGTTGACGCGTGCCTTCCCAAGCTCGAATCATTTGCCGGAAAAGGTTCCAAAAATTCTGGAATTTCCTTGATAGGTTCTAATTCACATAAAAATAGGATCAGAGTTGAAATCGAGGCAAAAAACAAGCAAACGGAGGTCGAACGGTCACTCACGCGCCTACACGCGCGCTGACACGCTCTGGAGGGTGTACTACACGTGACTTCTCACGCAGTCGCAGGCCAGCGACCGATCGGGCCAATTCGAGTGGTTCAGACTCAGGTCGACCCGATTGCACGGCGCCTGATGCGCTTCTTCAGCCCGCGGTCGCCACGTGTCGCTCGTCGATCCTGCAGCGCTCCTCCGTACGTCGGCCGACATGTGGTGGCGATTCCTCCTCTCTCTTCTTGCGTTTTTTTCCAATTTTCCAGAAACGTGAGTTTTGGTGTTTTCGATCCATTTTCTCCTGATTTTTATATCTTCCAATCCATAATCCGAATCAACAAGTTCTCTTCACGAGTATTATAGATGTCATATTCTATTTCTACAATATATTTTTCTTTTTTTGGTAATCACAGGTCTTATTATTTGAGTTCGAATTTGGGGAAAAACACGAGTTCTTACCGAAAATAACGTTTTCTTGAAACTCCAATTTTCGTCCAGAAACTTCAAAAGACCTGTGTGAATCTTATTTTAATTACATACCTCAAAAACTCTAGATCTAATGCTCATGAAATTTCTTAGATCTAGATAAAATCGAAACACGAAGTTTAGAATCTTACTTTGTCCGTTCTTAGATTTTTTTGCTGGAATGAGTGGATCCACCACCCAAACTTCTTTTCTAGCAC